GGTCTGCCACGCCATGTGGTCACTCCGGGGCAGGCGGGGATTGAACTTATGTGGAAGTGGCTTTAGTTTCTCAGTGCAGTGCTTTAACCCGCTGCGCCACCAGGGAGGACCACCTCCATGATATTTTAAGGTACCCTCTGGCCCAGGACATCTCTGCTTCTCTGCAGCCACGTGGAAAACTGGGCCACATGACAAACAGGGCATCTGAATTTGTGGCTGCACCCCACCTCCACCCCCCCCACAGAATATGTGAATCATAATGGGATAACCTGAGTCTGAGATACAGATGACTCAAATGACTGTGTCTCAAATGCTAGCACTCAGGGCGGACTTTCTTTCCACAAGGCTTTCTGGCCTCCGCTCTGCTGGCTTTGGCCCAGAGTAACTCTTTGTGGAGGGAAGATGCATGGTAGCAAGTTTAGCGGCAGGCCTGGCCTCTCTCCATAGATGTACTCCCCACTTGCAAGTGACAACCAGATTGTCTCCAGACATTGCCAACTGTCCCCTTGTGGGTAAAGCTGCCACCAGTCGAAAGTCATTGCTTTAAAGTATGGTCTGAGAGAGAAAGGGAAGTTACCAAAATAAAGATGTTAGATATTTTTTTAGTAACATAAAAGTTCAAATTATTAGCATAAAAAATCCCCCACAAGAAAATAAGTTGTGTAAGAATCATTTCTATTTATATACTTTATATAGATGTATATTATTTGTGCCTCAAGAAAACTACTTAGTGATGACAAGCCCAGCCTTTGGAGTCAGAAGCCCTAGTAGAAATCCCATCTGTCCTAGTATTGTTATGCGACCATGCACAAATTACCTTAACACTCTGTCCTACTTTCCTTCAGAGGGGATAAGAATAGCACCTACTTTGTAAGGTTTAATAGAGATTAAGCGTGATAAACTATGTAAAGCCCTTAGAATAGTGCTTGGAACACGTAAGCACAGACAGACATGGCCGATGCTATTCTAGACTCATCACACACACACACAGCCATGCCCAGAGTTCCACTCATCCAGACACTCAACAATAATGGTCTCACCACCTACTGAGCTCCAAGTCTGAGGCACTCTCAGTGAGCTACACATACTCTCCCTGACCTCACAACACTTTCATCTAGATAATATATATTTTTAAAGATGTATTTATTTATGCATACAGAACTGGGGTACAGGACAGAGGTGCAGGGACAGTAAGAGGATCACCAGAGACAGAGTGGGAGCAGAACAGGCAGATCTTCAAAGCACACTGCTGAGGGGAGCAGCATCAGGAGAGGTCTGCCACGCCATGTGGATCACCTCCAGGGCAGGTGGGGGTCGAACTCATGCTGAAGTGGCTTTAGCTTCTTAGTTTTGTGTTTTTAACCTGCTGCACCACCAAGGAGGGCCCTAAATAAATAAATGTTAAAAAAAAAAAAGTGTACCAAGAATTACCTACAGAGAATTATTTATCTCTTATGAACAGACTATTCACTTTCCTTTCCCAATATCTGTGTTCAGTAGTCATTTTACCCCTTGATTCCTCTAATGTCCTTTTATTCAACTGAGGCAGTTTGTTAGACAGGATGCTTTTAAATCATAGATGCCCTCACGGGTGGATGTCAGTGACATGTTTTGATTGCTTAAAGACTTATTTATTTATGTATACAAGAAATAGGGTGCAGGCCAGCATTGCAGGGTGTGAGAGGATTCACCAGAGACAGAGTGGGGAGCAGAATAGGTAGACTGACTGAAATACACTGCTGAGGGGAGCAGTGGGTGAGACAGGAGAGGTCTGTTACACCATATGGGTCACCTCTTGGCTGGGGGATTGAACTTGCACTGTGGTGGCTGCAGAGAGCTCCATAGTGCTGTGTTCTAACCTGCTGCACCAGCTGGGAGAGCCCAACATGTGTTTTTTAAAAACACGGCTACCTGGCTTCCAGACCTGGGATTCTGTCTTCACTGCTCTGGGGTATAGCCAGGGCATCAGGATATCTCAAATCTCCCAGTTTGCAATGAACAGCGAGATTGAAAACCACTGGCCCAAATAGGGTTGCTTTTATTCCATTTTTTCCTAAACTTCCATGATAATGTGGACTTTTGTTTAAAATGCAAATTTCTGGCCCCCAAATCTCCAGGGAGGGGCCTGGGAGGTACTGTGTTCAACAAGCTTTCGGTGGGAAAGCCTGGACACACTGCTTTGCTGGTATCATTTGTGGCTGGCAAGTTGTGAAGCCGCCACTTCAGGGCGCGGGGCCCGTGTGACCAGCTCCCTTTAGCATTACTCTCACAAACCCATCAGAGTGGGGCCCAACCCTGTTCCACTGTGGTGACACATGTGCCTTTTCAGCAATGCACAGTTATGTGTTGATAAAGCCCAGGCCTCAAGGAAGTGAATGGAGATGAAGTATGTTGATCTTTTCAATCTTCAGAGACACTTAACAACAAAATTCAGCTTTATGCTGAAAGTCCCACTTGCTTTTGGTTTATTTCTGTACCTGTATTTCCCACTCTGACTTCCAAAAGGCTCTGAAAGGTAAGAGGTCAGACACACCTCATGTCTACATACCTCACTTGCATATCTTAGCGAGCTTCCCCAAGGAGTAGCTTGGGTACCCTTCTCTTCAAAAAGGTGGACAGATACCCCACTGGCTCCCAGATCCATGGGGTGACAAGAGTCCATTTCAAGCGCCCAGCAGGAGAGGATGCCACCGTGAGGCCCCGGGGGTGCTTAGTGGGGACAGATGCTTCCTCTACTGACACCAGCCCCTCTGCTCTCCAGGGGTTCATTAATTCCCTCCAGCAATCCACAGGAGACTGCTGCAGGCTTTGATGCTTGCATTTCGTAGTGTAGGGACCAGGCATCTTGGTTAATGGAAATTTTATAAAAAGATGTAAGCATATAAAATACAAATTTCCATAGGATCCTTTCTGATTTAAGCAAAAATCAAAAGGTCATCCTACTCTTCACAGCCTTAAAGCCGACAGAATACCTATCTACATGTATGTTCGTGCGCACATGTGTGCTTACACATGAGCATCATGTTAAGGTAACCCAAGTCCCCCCATGTTAGCCAGCTCCCAGGTAGCTGCTCCCAGATAGCAGTCATCCTCTGCTGTGCCATTTAAACATAGTTAGTCTTAATTTTGGAAATCCATATTTTGAGAGTTGTCACCAAATATTATATTGCAGCTTGATTATGGAAAGAAAAGGTCATGTTAGAGTCAACTGTGATTTATAGAAGCAGCAGGAGCTAAAAATAAGGATAGGGAAAGAAGCATAAACAGTAATGAGAACAATTCTTAAAAGAAACTGGGAGGCTAGGTAGGAATAGTTAAGACGGGATCAAAAGGATGCAAGAGCTGGGGTAAGAGGAGAAAAAAGGAATAGCTGCTTCTTGAAAAGGAGGCAAGAAGTAAAACTAGCCACCATATGGTAGATTCATTAGATCTCCACTCTCTATCAGGAAGCGCACACACACACACACACACACACACACACACACACACACACACACACACACACACACACACACACCCTTCAGGCCTTCCCCCAGATGCTGAAGATCAAAAGCAAGCATCTCCACTTCACAGAACAGAAGCCCAAACAGGTGAATTTACACAAAATGATACAGCTGGAAATAAGTGAGCTGGATTTAAATCCAAGGTTTACCAAATTGTGTGCCTCCCACACAGTTTTGCAGAGCCTGTACTCTGGTTGGTGAGGGAGGGGAGGGTTGAGCATGGATTTCGATGGGTCCAGGTGTGCGTGTCCTTGAACAGCTCTCTCAGGTGGAGAAAGAGCCCTGCCAGGTCACCAGCAACCACCTGATCTCATGCTGCCACACCTGATGCCAGGGAGCCCCTCAGTATGTTCACCCTTCAGGAGATTGAGCCTCTAAATGCCTCAATAGTGAGAATATCTCTGACTCCTATTAAGCATCTAGTTATTCATTTATCAAAAAAAGGGGGGTATTTTTCTAGTGCTGTGGGACTGCCCATTCCCTGAACATCTCCCAGCCAGACTGCAGCTCTCTCCACCAGGTAAGCTGCTCCCCAGGGCTCCCAAGGCCCCCTCTCCCGTGTCTCCAAAGCCCTCAAGGCTTCAATCCTTTCACTCACACTGTGTCCTTGTTTGCTCTGAGGCTCTGAAAAATACAGAAGATTGGAATAAACTCACTTTTGGTTCCCACTTACTGTTTCTGAGGCCCCTAAAGCCCACAAGTACCTTATTCAGCCTGAATCATTGCCCAGCGAGGACTTAGTTCAAATGCCATTTTCCTCGGGGTAAATCTTTTCTACAGAGGCTTCTTGCAAGAGCCTCACAGTCCTCTTGCACCCCACTCATCTGATAGAACTGAGTCCTGTAGTGACAGTCACCCAACCTGAAACCTGAGAAGCTTTCCTGGGATGCTCAGCCATTCATATGAGGGTTCAAGTGATGGTGCTAGGGCTCATGAGGGTTAAGCCTCACTCCAAGCCACATCAGCTGCAGACACCCATTCCTTTCTATAAATGGCTCTGTTGTCTCTTGTTCAAAGAGACAAGAATAGCCCAAGTTAGGGGAGGAAAGTGCTACATGGAAAGTAGGTAAAATGGGTCCAAGGTACTCCCCAGTTAAGTTCATTAAGGTAGGAGAAAAAAGAAGACATTAGCTCATGAAAGTGGGGCTTCCAGAATAAAGTCTGGACTATTTTTACATTGGTTTAACCAATTTACAGTTATAGCATGTGTCTCCTTTCTCGTGGATATTGGAGCAGCCTGGCATTCACCAGACAAGATGCACTGTGCTGACCCGAGGCTCCTGCACCAGTAAGACCCTGAAAGGAGAGGGTCCCTTTTTAGCCAGAAGACCAGAGACACTAGGTACTTGCAAACAAAATGATGCTTCATGACACAGGTCCAAGCAAAGTACTGCATCCTAGAAATACATTTAAGCATCAAAAGAAGTTTTCATATTAAATTATTTCAAAGAGTGCTGTCTTTTCCTTTTTTTATTCATCTGATAGCGTGAGTTTTTAAGTTCACGAGAATTCCTATCCTTGTGCTGACCTTGTGCTGTGCTATGCTGTGGGGACTGAAGCCTTGCCCAAGGGCAGGGCTCCAGCCTTGCAACCAGAGCTCTGTATTGTGTTTCCTGACAGCTGGCCTACATCGGATACCTGATGCTCTTCAACTACATCGTGCTGGTGAAGATGGAGCGCTGGCCTTCCACCCAGGAATGGATCGTCATTTCCTATATTTTCACCCTGGGAATTGAAAAGATGCGAGAGGTAACCAGAAAGGAAGAGAGATGTGTCTCTAAAGGAAAACAGTGGAGAAAGGCAGGGGCTGGTTACATCTCGGGATGGAGGGGAGGTGGGGATGCTTGGGATCCCAGAAACTTCAGTATTTTCTCTAACACTGCCGCAGAGACAATGCACCTGCCCTTGGAGCTTTTTCTCTTTGACCAAGCTAGGGAAGCTTTCCTGGGTGTGGTTAGAGGGCTGGCATTCCCATGTGCTTAGGATTTAGTCTGTTTTCTGCAAATATAGGTCTTTCCCCAAGAAAGCCCTGAATCCTCTCGTCACTATTTATACACCTATTCACTTGTCCCTATAAGCGTGCCTTTTTACATGTTTCCACTTTTTACAGAATTCAAAATTTCCTCCTCTTAATTCCCAAGACAAGCCCTCTCTCGGGGTGTCTTTGGACACTATCTAACAACATCCCAGAAGCATTTCCACCACGCTAGGGCGTCCTATATAGTTTCAATCATTTATTTATTCTCTGGTCTACTCCCTCTCAATATTTATTACACACTTTGGGCACCAGCTTCTCCACCAGCCCCAAGTGCCCCCGAGGTGAAGTGAAACTACTTCTTGCCCTTCAGCTCGAGGAAGGGGGTCCCTCTCATCTCCTCCCGCCCCCATCACCAAAAAGGAACCATCATAACACACCCGCGGCTGACTTATTTAAGCCAAAGCTAACCTCAGGGGCTCTCAGACTCAGTCGCTAAGTGACTGTGAGGAAATAACAGTCCACCAGGGGGCTCTGCAGCCCCGCCCAGCACACTCCGCGAGTCCGGTCCCAGCCCGGAGCCCTAGGGAAGGCAGGGCAGTGCAGTCTGACAATCCCTCTGCATTTCCCTTGGAACCCAAGGCAGTAGAACAGACCTTTTCTTTGAGAATTGCTGCCTTTCAAGTCCACGGCACCCTCGAGAGCTTCGGAACAATTCTATTCCCTGTACTATTCCCTGCAAGTAGAAAATATATTGGGCTCCACAGAGCAAAGGATTCCTACCAATCCACAAATTTACCCTGGCTTTCATTACTAAGACAAGTTAAAAGGCCCTCAACGTTTAGGTTTCAGCTCTAGAATGTTCTCCTCTAGAGACAAAGATCTTTTAGTTGCAGTCCTACTGGAATTGATATATACTTAATATATGTATACATTATATATATTATATATAATATATATATAATATATATATTATATATATACTTATATATATTATATATATAATATAATATATATATAATATATATATTTTATATATACATATATATATATATATATATATATATATATATATATAGTCAGATCCTTTCTTCTGTGTTTTTAAACTGCTTTGCGGCTGTTTAAATTCTAACCAGCATGCCCATGTACTGAGAGTCTGGGTGTGGATACCCTGGCCTCATTTTATAAGGGACTGGATATATTTTTTTTAATGAAGCTTATCTTGCTTCATTCCAGCTAGTTGTCCACACGTAGGTCTTCCCATTCATAACGCCTTCTACTTCCTGCCCACTATTGTGGATTTCCATTTGTAAACTGAAAAGCAGCCATAAATTTGCTTCGGTCTTTGTGTAGCTCTCTGAGAGCAGAGCCCGGGGCCGCGAAAGGCCCTGCGAGTGTACAGTGCCAGCTCGCCCTCTTGTATTTAACGCCCAGATGCATATTCCTTCCCCATGATAAGCAGAAAAGGAAAAGACTTGAGCAGGGAGATTGGAATCTCTCCAGGGACTAGACTGGAAGAAGACAGGGAGCAGTCTGTACTCCGCGGACTGTTCTGGAAAAGGCTGCCAAACAGGCGGGCTGCCAGGAACCTCAAGGCCTGGATATCCATTTCTCCTGAGGCGGCATATAATAGCAGAGAGGGCAGGGCTTTGGAGGCTGGGGTCAGCGGGCGGACAACCCCAGCACCCTCGCTTCTGTGGGAGCTGTGGGGAGAGAGACACTGAGTCCTCAGTGTCTGACCTCTTCTTCTTCGGCCCAGCGAGGTAGCCCTTTACCCAAATCCATGCCCCATTAAAGAGATATTCACCCCCAAGTGGGGGAGGACCCCACCTTTCTGTCTTCATGTTGTCTCATAGGAAGACTCGGGCCCTCAAGATAGCAACGCAAGATCCGGGAAGTGTGGAAAAGCTGAGCACTTCCGTGCTGCCCGAGGGAAACATTGGAGGGCTTTGTGGTTTCACAGGCTGCCTCCCATTCCCAGAACCACATACTTCTGCACACAGTCACCAAAACAAGCCACCGTAATCCCTTAATAGCATGTAGCTGCGTACAAGTGTGCGTTGGTAGACGTTATCTCATTTGGGTTCTCCTGCCCTGGACTCTTGAGAGGTAAACAGGCAGTTGTTGTAACATCCTCACTTCACAGATTCAGGAGCTGAGACTCAGGATTCAGCAACCTTTCTGCATCCCACTGCTAGAAAGGGCCGCTGAGTCTGACATCTGACCGATTTCCTCCCCAGGCCCACTGCTCTTTCCACTCCACCCATAGGGTTCAGTCTGCAGAACGCAGAGATTCTGAGAGGTGTCAGTGCTGGTTGAAGGCCCAGGCGGCAGTTAGCATTTTTTTAGCGAGAAGGTATTTTTAAATTAAGGTATGTACATTGTTTCTTTGGACGTAGGCTTACATAATAGACTACAATGTAGTGTAAACATCCCTTTCGTATGCACTTGGAAACCAGAACATCCCTGTGACTTGCTCTATGGTGATACTTCACTGTGGTGGTCTGGAACCAAACCTGCAATATATCTGAGGGGCGCCTACAGTGAAGATATGTTTATGAAAGTGCAACAAAAAAAGAGACATGACAGCCAAGAGGCTTGGGTGCAGAGGGATGAAAAGCTGAGGCCCCACCCTGTGACTTTCTCTTCTCCAGCTGCTGACAAAACAAAAATATGGTATTTGCAAAGGGCAGTGAAACAAGGTATGCCTGTATTTAAAAATGAAGCCTCTACATTGAGCAGCTTCAACAGAGTGTGGGCAAAGGGCTAGGCCTTCCCCATGCCACCTCAGCCACACACATAGATTTTGCCAGTCACAGGTGGTGGTGAGGATAGAATAGCGGGACCCCAGCAGCTGCAGGCATCCCTGATGGGGGCAGGGGGGACAGTCATTGTTAGCCTTTGGTCACCCATACAACCTGGGAACTGGTTACATTGGTAAACTCTTCAGCTGCACACCTTGGGCTGCTTTTCTGGAAGCAGAAACTCCAGAGGTAAGGTCAGCCCTCTGTACTTCCACCAGGTAATTCTGTTGCAGGCTAAAGTTTGAGAAACCCAGGACTAGGGTTTAGAAGTGAGGATCCCACACAGAGGATCCACTACACTGACGACAGAGGATGAGGAAAGAGGCTCCCTGGCACTCCCGGCTTCCTGAGCAGCTTCCACGCCCAGGTCCTCACTCACAAAGACCTCCCTGCTAGTATCTCAGGCCATGGTAAACCTCTAAACAGGATTTGAAGGTGCAAATAAGTAGTTGCAGGTTAGAGTTGGCCCCAGTCTTTATTTTCCTCCACATGAGAGGTCTGAGTTGGAAAAGGGGTGCGCTGTGGCCGGGAGAGGTGGACATCTCAGGAGCAAGCGCAGAGGTTCAGGAAGGCAACACCACCACCTCCCCTCCCAGGACGGCCTCCCTGGCCCCCATTTCCTGGAGCAGGCTACAGTGCAGAAGGGGGTGCCCTCTACTCAGCTGTAGATTTCACAGGTGTGGTAGCAAAAAACGCCCCTCTAGGTTTGAGGTAAGGCAGAGTCCCACCCAGCCACTAAGATACACAGGAGACAAAAGGATTGCTGGGAAGTGCCCATGCAGCAGCCAGTCAGCCAGCAAATACGTCTATCATGTGTCAGGTGCTGGGCAGCAAAGAGTCTGCCCTCAGTTTACAGTGAGTGGGGAGAGGGAGGACAGTTGATAGACAGACAGATAGAGGCATGAGTGGAGGGATCACAGGTATTGTAGACACATGCATGCAGAGAGAATTTCATATAGTGATAAAATCTTCCAAAATATAAAATAAGAGCATGCATGAGAGCGTGGCTTGGGGATGTGGAGACAACTGCAGGTGGGAGTCGGGAGGCCATCTTTGAACCAGAAACGTGAACAGAGACATCAAAGAATAAGGAGAGCCAGACATGTAAACTCTGAGAGAAGAAGACGCCCAACACAAGAAGCAAGTACAAATGTCCTGTGCATAGACTGGCTTGTTTTACTTCAGCACGGACACTGCAGGGGAGGCGAAGGGGAGCTCATGGTGATCCCACAGAAGGAGTTAAATCTGTCAGGTTTAAATATTCAATTACTGTAATTTTCTTTCATTTTTGCTGCTGTCCATATATCTCTAAAATCTCTCTTTTTAACACTGAGGTATAAGAAATGTTAGGAAATGAACAACTCCGCCTAAAGCAGAGCATGATGAACTTTTCCCTGCTCACACACTACCCTCATCCTGGCTTCGGGTTTTGTTAGTTTGGTTTGTTTTATGATTAATATTTTATTATTGAGGCATGCTTTCTGTTCTAAGGAACTTACAGCCAGAACCAGCAGCTAAAATGTGTACTAAAATATATATAGTTCAATATAGAATGCACCATTTGCAAGGAGCTATTCTGTCCCTCACAGCAAGGAGAACCCCTCAAAGAGTTCGGAGGAACCCGTCCTCACGGTGCTCTGGCTTCCTTTCCCTGACCTGCTCCCCCTTCACTTTTAAACCCTAGTGCTGTGCCCTTCAGAGCTCTCTGCCCAAGGTTAACAGACTGTCTTGTTACCTCTTCTAGTTATTTTCTCTCTACCTTCTGCTTTAATTACAACTGGAATACACTAGGCCCAGTGCAAATGGCTTACGTATTTAAAGATCATTCAGAGTGCTGCTCAGAGTAAAGATTGGGCCTGGGCGGGAACCATCACAGAAGGGATACCAGTCAGAAGTCTGTGCAATCATCTGGGAGAGTGGTGGGGCTTAGAATAGAGTGGCAGCCCGGAGGTGGTGAGAAGTGGTTACATTAGGTTGCATTTAGAAATCGAGGTGATAGGATGTGTGATGCAGAGGATGTGGGTGTAAGAGTCGTCCTAAGTTAGTGGACCAGTAACTCAATGTGGTAACTGTTTATCGAGTGAAGGGGGGTGTTGGAGATAGCAAGGTAATATGAATCACCCATTTTATAAAGCAAAACCTTAATGTGTATGGCAGAATTGTAGGCAATCAAGTGTATTGTTTATATCTGCCTCTGGAATATTTGCATCTGAACTAAGCTTCAGTTCAGTTGCACACTCATAGCATACAGGTATTCCAGGAAATGCAGGCAGACAAAATAAACACTGATATCCACTATTGCACCAAGCACTTTCTAACTGGGCTGGAAATAGAGACACAAATCAGACTTAACTGCACTCTTTTTCGTGCCTTTTAGATTCTGATGTCAGAGCCAGGGAAGTTGCTACAGAAAGTCAAGGTGTGGCTGCAGGAGTACTGGAATGTCACCGACCTCATAGCCATCCTACTGTTCTCCGTGGGAATGATCCTTCGCCTCCAAGACCAGCCCTTCAGAAGTGACGGGAGGGTCATCTATTGTGTCAACATCATTTATTGGTACATCCGTCTATTAGACATCTTCGGCGTGAACAAATATTTGGGCCCATATGTAATGATGATTGGAAAAATGGTAAGCACCATTATAACATGAGTCCATGTTCTCAGTTCTCCAAGGAGTGGAAGATCATTCATTTGGGTTTGCCATCAACGTCTGACTGAGCTGACCTGGGGGTGGTTTAATTTTTAATTCCTTCTGAGTGTTTGAGAGTTTGACTACATCTATATATATAGCTGGAGAATTAACTACCACTCACCCTTCCTTAGTAACTGACAAATACACATATATTAACATCATCTATTTTGTGCCACATAGAAGTTGGGTGTTGACTAGGAGTAGGCTATATAAAGAGTCTCCTCCCATAATATTGATGAAAGAGAAAAGTCAGTCTCATGCAGTGTGAGAAGGCTGTGACAGAGAGGTATACAAAGCTCAACAGGAGCAGTTTCCCACAGAATCTTGGAAAAGAGTGGGTCATCAAAATTTTTTTTAAGATTTATTTATTTATGCATACAGAACTGGGGTACAGGCCAGAGGTGCAGGGGCAGTGAGAGGAATTAGCAGAGACAAAGTGGGGAGCAGAACAGGCAAACTGACAAAGTACACTGCTGAGGGGAGCAGCGAGCGAATCAGGAGAGGTCTATCTTACCATGTGGGTCACTTCTGGGGCAGGGATCGAACTCATGCTTAAGTGGCTTTAGCTTCTTAGTGCTGTGCTATTTAACCTGCTGTGCTACCAGGGAGGGTCCTGGGTCTCCACATTTTTAACAGATTCTTTTTTAAATGAATGTCTGAGGAGAATGTCCTTCTCTAAGTAACGGGAAGGAAAACAACATTTACTTGAATCAGGTTGAACTGAATCAAGTTAGAGTTTGAGTTGAACATGAAGTTCTATACTGTATCATGTTTTGTTACACTGCAGAAGATGATTGCTTTAACAAAAAAAATGATGTCTGTTAAAACTAAGTTCTAGAATAATGATACCACTTATCTTACTCTTAAAAATAAAAAAAGAATCCTAAGTGGCAAAGTAATATGCCTCCCAACATATGGCTATGAACTTGTTCCAAAATGCCTTGACCAGACACCCATTTCAGACTGAGCCTGGAAAGATAGCATCCATGTGCACGAGTGAACAGGCTCTCCAAACTCACCAGAAAAAAATTAGAGCTCAGAAACTGGATACATTTTACTTATCCTGCTTTGCTCAGTGTATCCCCTACTTCACTTTCACAGGACAAACGTCGAAAAGCCAAGCACATCCACACATCCCCATATCCTCTGAAAAGACTCTTTGCCAGTAACTTCCACTGCATTTCCGTGTCCAAGCTACTGAAACAAATAATTGGTCAGTAGATGACCTTTATCATTTCCACTCAACTTTTATTACATACATCATTGCTGCTGACAAATCAATACTGTGTGTGTGTGAGAGAGAGAGAGAGAGAGAAACTACACTGAAATGAATGTTAAATGACCAAGACTCATCCTACAATAGCACTGACAAACTCTGCCAAAAGAGAGAGAATTTGAATCAATAATGAAGGGTTAGAAGACTTTGAGTAATCTATTTAACCTCTTTGAGACTCACTTTACTGGTTTCTAAAGTAGTAATAAATGCTTATCACATACAGTTGTTGCAATGATTAGAAATAGCATGTTAGGCCCTCCCTCATGGCACGACAGGCTGAAGTGCAGCACTATAAAGCAACCGCAGCCACTGCAGCATGAGTTTGATCCCCAGCCAAGGAGCTGACCCACATGATGTGGCAGATTTCTTCTCACCTTCCCGCTGCTCCCCTCAGTAGTATATTTCAGTATATCTGCCTGTTCTCCTCCCCACTCTGTCTCTGGTGAATCCTCTCACATCCACACCTCTGGCCTGTACCCCAGTTCTTGGATAAATAAGTAAATCTTAAAAAAAAAAAAAAAGCACATTAACTAGCCAGCAGTGTCTGGCTAATAGTAGGTAGTGGTTCAAATGTTTCTGTTATTATGCTCATACTATGTTTATTAAAGCACAATAAAAAAAAAGTAAAAGGGAAACTGGTAAGCATAGTTATTTGCTCTATGCCTAACCCTTTTGTGCAAAAGGTTGGTATTTATGAGATCGGCATTATTTAGGGAAAATATCACCATGCCCATTCTAGAGAGGGAAAGCTTGAATTCAACAAACTTAAGTTACTTACCTAATTGGGGATTTCTGGCTAAGGAAAAACATGTATCTTAATCTGTTTCACTGGCTGTTACATCATCCTCTTTGTACTTCAGTAATGAATTTGAGATGACGGTGAAAATTCCTGTCTGAAACCAGATTCTCAACTTAGAATCTATGGAAAAGATTTAGGAGAGAGCAGATCTGTGGCCCCTCCACCGAATTTATATATAAAAATGTGTAGGCGTGTGAATTTTCTGGGCAGAGAGAACACAATTCCGTGAGATTCATAAGCATATTCTCAAGTGGACCCAGTGAAAGTAAAGAACTATAACAGCTGTAAAATTAGGCCAAGTTTTCTCAACCTTGACGCTACTGATCTTTTGGACTAGATAATTATTTATGTGAGGGACTGTCCTATGCTTCATAAGCAATTAAGCAGTATCACTAGCTTCTCCCTCACTAGATACCAGTAGTGTAGGAACACGCATGTGCTCACATGCACACACACTCATAGACACACACAATATGACAACACAAATGTCTCCAAATGTGTCCCCTGGGGGGACAGGAGGGGAATTGCTGTCTGTTGAGAACCATTGTATTTATTACACAATTACATATTCTGATTGCTTGTCTTTTGCTAATTTTTACTTTCTGTCAGTAAATCAAATCTGAAAGAAAAAAAAATCCAAATATATTACCCTAAAAAGATTGGGTGGCATTTAAATACTTGAAATAACTAAAGTCACGTGAAAGTAGTGAAATTATTTTAAAATCCATGTCTATCATTTTAATAATGGCATAATTATCCCCGGTTTTGACTCAAATGAAACCTTACTTAGGGAGTGAGCAAGAGAGATGTACTACATTTTCTCCACCTTCTAACTTATGAATGACTTCACTTATCAGTCAAGAATAAGTAGAAAATGAGTATATTTGGGGGCTTTGTTCTCTTTCATGGGCCTCTTACGATATTTAGTTCAATAATTGAGTCACTGATCCAGAAAGTAGGTAAAATATGCTGTAGGATTTATCAGTGAGAAAGATAGACTACCAGCCTTCAAGCATAACGAAAAATGCCCAGATGTGATTATTCTGAAAGGCTTTCAACATCACAAAGCCCCTAATCAGCGCTGAACAGCCAAGTAATTCACTGGGCCCAGTGGTCAAGGGACAGAGCTGCTGAGCTTCCTGGACACAGCAGTGATCAGGAGTCCACTATGAAATTGCTTCTATGAGTCTTCACATTATACAAGAAACAAGTACATCAAATGCCATCAGCATGGAAAGCCTGCGCTACATTGTGACTCAAATTGATCTGTAGGTCCAGGAACAGTGCCTAGAATCCTGACACCCTTCTTTCATAGTGCATTTCCAAATGAAATGCTGTAAGCATAGGCCCAAACTAATATGATGCAGAATAAAAACAAAAATAATGTTGTTTTTTCCTCTGTGGCAAATACATCAGACATATCATCATTACAGCCCCATGAAATAGTTTTTTAGTATCTTCATTTAATAAGTAAATAAACTGAGCCCGGGCAAGGGCAAAGCCAAGATTCAAACTAACTAGAGCTCAACTTCCTTCTAACTCTAGTAACGTTTATTAAGAACTGACCACATTTAATCCTTACCCAAGAAAGATGCATTATTATTGCTACGATATGTCCATTTTACACAGGAGAAAAACAAGATTAAGTAATTTTACCCAAGACCACCTTTCTATTTTTACTAGCAGAGTCAAGATGAAAACTCAAGTAGTATAACACCTGAGCGCATGTGTTGTTAACCACGACAGTTTACTCTCCTGTAGAGAACACAACCAAAGGACACTTACAGTTACATAAATGAGACAAATTCAGCCCTCCTAACGTTGAACCAACTAAAAAAGCTAGACTTAAAAGCAGAGTTGGCCAGCCTCAGTTCCATAGCAATGTTCTGTCTCCACACTCCATTCTATTAGGTTTTAATAATTGTATGGAAGCTAAGACTTCTTCAAAATACCTGAGGTTGAGGATTTTGAAAAAAATGTTTCCTCTTGCTGATTGGTTTGACCATTTGGATCAATATCACAATCAAATCTGAATGAAAACAGTCCTGAGAAATTAAATTATAACAGTTGCTGTATTTACTGGCTGAGTTTTCTTGGGTCAAACCAGCTCCCAAATCTCACAAGTACACACTTTCCTCTCCCCCATCTTTTAATCTATCTAAATAAACATACTATGAGGTGCACATTTGTGTTTTCTCATTGATAAAACTGCTTGTAAATAAATGGTGAAAGAATTTTACAAAAAAAAGAAAGGATGAAAACAGATACATGTTTTCTATAAAAAATGTTTCAACACAGCTGGTTTGCTCATTTTAAGAGAGTTCTGAGGCCTCTGAGTTGTGAAAGGGATGGCTGACTAACGAGCATGTACTTGTAAGGACAGTGAACAAATATTGAGAAACTTTTGTTTAGTTTCAAAATCAGACAATACTTGAGAGATCAATTTAAAGTTGCCCTAAAAATTGATTAACCAACCTAAAATATATTGACCCCCCAGTGCACTTAGGTATATAGGAAGATGGTAATGTTTTAATTCCAATAACAGATATTATGGAATATATCTTTTCAAAATAAAATTTTATAACTAACACCTACATTATTATTGAATGGGCATCCCTCCGGGTAGTCTAATGTTCAGGAAAGGACAGTCTTCTTGTATTAGATGGTTTGCTGCTACAGATAGACATCCTTCTTCACTTATCTTAAACCCAAAAGGACTTACAAGAAGGCATAATGACTTTACATATTACCATGACATCCACAACTAGGTAAGACAACCTCTGTCGGTCATTCTCTCTCTCTTCTTCCCTGCCCGCTTCTCTTTCTCTCTTAGCTGCTTCATTTCACTAGTGGGGCACTCAATCCCAGACACTCTAAATTCACATCATTACAGAGAGAGAAAGGGAGCATCTCTCTCCCAGCTTGAGTTGTAAAACTTCAAAGAGAGGATTCTGGTCACAAATCTACCTCCTTTTCACTGTGGGCAGAGTGAGGGGAGGAGTCACGATTAAACCATTTGAGAAAAGACAAGTATCTCTGTGGCCAAAATGGATGGAAACTTTCTAAACAATAGAGGTAAATGAATTAGGCAGAAGAGTGGGTACTACACCCTCCTCTAATTTTGATGATAAAAGGAAAAGTAATTTGACGTATGAAAAGCAGATCCTAAATAACATGGATCATAAAAAGAACAAAAATGAAAAGACTAAAGAGGAACAACAGATGACACTGTACTTGAACAGAGGCCAGGGAATGGGAGGAAGATGTCAAATTCTGTCAAATGTACAGGATTTCAGCAGTAGGCACAGGCATGGTCTGTTAGGCTGTCAGATGCCTTAGAGAATCACCCCCCACCCCATCCCCCACCCCCCCATAGCTGGTACAGCACACTGCAGGAGAAGAGTGATTTTCTGAAACTGGTTTGTAGTTGGACACTATGCAATGAGGTGGGGGGCACTGGGAGGCCACAAGAATAAGATGGTATTTGCTGCTTTAGCTTTGTTTACAAATGATTATTTCCTTAAACTTGTGCAGTATGCAACCACCTTTAGAATTTAAGAAGTTTACAGTATCACAATAGTTCTTGAAATCATTCAACTACCCCCTTTCCAGTTTTACCAAAAAGAAAGAAACCCTCAGAGGGCATTTGTCTCCCCCAGGAGCAGAGACAAGCTACCAGATACATAGAGAGACCTATGTTATATGCCTCTAAAGCCTCATCTTAACTAGGTCTTACAGACAGCAACTGGAAAATGTAATGACTTTGGAGTTACTGATAAAATTCTTTGGGTTTCATAGACCAAGTGTCCTCTTGTCTGAATACTGCTCCCTACTGAAACATCCTTTGCCAGCTGTTCTCCCCAGTGAGCCTCCTTCATTCATCCACGTCATCATTTAGAGGAACACTTGATCTTATGGGTTTTCTTTTGTTTCTCCCTCTGCTTCTCCACCTTTCCAGATGATAGACATGATGTACTTTGTCATCATTATGCTGGTGGTGTTGATGAGTTTTGGGGTCGCCCGGCAAGCCATTCTCTTTCCCAATGAGGAGCCATCATGGAAACTGGCCAAGAACATCTTCTACATGCCTTACTGGATGATTTATGGGGAAGTGTTTGCAGACCAGATAGACCGTAAGCAAGTTTATGATTCTCATACACCAAAGTCAGGTATTTAACTTCAATTGGGTCATGTCTTTTCTGAGTTCATTTGTTTGTTCTCAATAAATGGCTCAAGATAGAGGACCGATTCTTAGTTTGCTATCTTGGAGGGGGAAAAAAGCAATTATAGAAAGTGAATACATAATTTTAGCAAAGTAGTCCTCAGGTGTTTCTACAGCTATGTCCTTTCTGTGACACGAGTCGACATCTGGTGTGCCAAATTTGATCAAGAAATGAACCATTTATAAAGACCTAAATTCTCTGAGGATTAGAAATCTCAGGGCCATGTATTGAATACTTCAATCTTAGGAATACGTTATGTCACTACTCCCCGGTCCTAACCCGGCCCCTAGCCTTTAAAAAATAAATTCCTTAGGTTGGACTTGAGAACAAATAAACAATTCTCAATTTCGCCATCAGAATTCAAGAGTGAGGGCAAACATCTGCATGGTGTTTTCCTTGCACTGGAAACTATTCTCTGGGTCCTTTTCCCACTGTCTTAAATTATGTGCTATTGAGACTCAAAAGAAGTGAGTATTCATTGCCTGGAAGTATGGAAAATGCCTTAGGTTATAAGCAGAGTGGCTGGCTGTAAATGCCAGAATACAAAAAATAGCATCTATAGCATGAAGTGATTCAGTGCGGGGAGGCAGAGCCAACAGGCCCCAATGTCTCACGCCCTAATAGAGGCCGAGTCTCTAGAATAAACACTCCTCTTGTGTGGAGTTCGAAGACAGTTGTATCCTAGAGTCTGTTCCAGCATTTTATTTGGACCAAATGTCAGAACACACAAGGTTTTGGGAAATGATGGGAAGAAAGCACCAGGAAGAAATATCCCAGGAGTGACTCTCTCATTTTCCCTGAGGTGTTTAGCTCTAGAAATATCATCCCTCCAACATTGTTGAATTAACATTTTTGAGACATTTTTCTGCTGACAGGCCAGCCATCTGGGCCCTTGACTGTGGACATGGATTAGGGTTACATAACCAGGTAGGCTAGCTTATTAAGAGCAGAAGCAGAAACTAGTCAGCGTCCCTCCGCCCACCCCCACCAATTCCAGGCAGGACTGAGTCCAGGAAAATCAGGACAAAGCACCAAAGACTGTGAGTCCTCCAGGCCTGTGAAGAACGTGTGTACTCTGGCGAGAACACACCAGTATGTCATTTTCCCTTCCATGATGAATTTTAAACAAATACCATTTCCTTCTCAATGAGTTATCTGAGGCAAGAAGGCGTTTTGGAACACCTAATTGGAACAAATATTCATTGCATGAGACTTGGCCAACTCACTGAGGAAGAATTTTCACTCCATGTCCAAGTTGTAATATCTTTGGTTGACAATGTGCAGCCTTCACCAAAGCTTCCCAGGGACTGGAGGAAACTCTTTTGGGGATCTGCCTTTCAAAATCCTCCTTTCAAAAATCTCCCTCAAGGCAAAACAACACTTAGAACATCCACCTGTGATCATCCTCCTAAGAGATGAAACGTACTTTTTTTTTCCCCAAGAAATTGCTTTCTTATTTACATTATGTTGCCTTTTCTCGTTTTCCTTTCTTCCCTCAAATGAGATGAAGTTCTCATGAGTGTTTTGATCATGCAACATTTTGGGGTGGTTGGAGGGAGATGTAGTTTTTTTATAAGTGGGATTCTGTCTGTCCCTCTACAAGTGGCCATTTATTGACGTTGTACTATGAACCCAGCCTAGTGCAACAAACACTGCCATCTGGCTGCTTAAGAGGACTTTTATTGTTACTCGAAAAGAAGGGCTGATTGTAGTTTAGAACTGAAAACCCCCCCAGCGATGGAAGAGAGTGTTTTGTGTGAGTGAAGTATGCAAATAGATTCCCACATTGTTAATTACCTCTGTGGTGCTCTACCTGTGCAAGTATCAATTTCTACCCTAAATTTGAATATGCAACTGACCCAGCCTTGGATGGATGAGACCTTCGAGACACCTTTTCTCTCCCACTCCCCGTCCTTCAGGATGGTCTGAAATGACTGCAGAGGCAGTCACTGTTCTAAGCTAAATCAGCCAGTTTTCTGTCTAAAGTGCTAAAGAGTATTTGTCCTTTCTCAAATGGGTACAGAAGGTTGCCCGCAAATCTGTCCTGCTATCTGATCAAGGTCATTCTATCCTCTGAATGATTTGATTTTCATGTTATGTCACTGGGTGGGTCCCACGGGGATCAGGTGACTCCCCCACCTGGTCGTTCAGAACTGCCCTCCCAGAAGGCCCCAGTACCATGCTGTTTGAGAAAGGTATAAATCGTCAACGCTGCCCTGCGGTGTCTTGCTCTTCCGTGCCGTGTGCAGACTGGTTGTGAAGCATGTGTTCAGGCTGATGGGATCTCATAGCCACCTGGACCCGCTTCCCTGCCCAGGGTCTACCAATGCCAACCTGTGGATGTTCCCTTTGGGGGCCTTTCCAAGCGCTGCTCATCCACAAACACGTTCTCAGAGTGACTCATTTGTAACATAATGCACGCGCTCCATATCCAACTCTCGTTTTTAATTGCAAAACTGCTGCGCCCATTTCATGTTTGGGGAAATACTCTCTTAATTGGGGTGGATGTCTGTGGCTGTATAGTGGGCCCCTAGGGGCCGGTTCTAAGGTCTGTCTCACACCTCAGAAGAGAGGACAGAGTTACTGCCCTCACTTCTGGGAGGCAATGTTACCAAACAATGGATTTTTTTATGTACATTCCGCTGCTTTTCCTTGTGCTTTGTCCCAATCCCAAAGACTAGTAATAAGACCAGAAAAACTAGAATGGGACATGTAAGGTTACTTTCCAAATGTGCTTTACTATCATCAAAGGAAAAGAATGGAATCATTGAAAAAATCACAAAATAACATACTTTTCACCTCCGAGTCAGACTAGACTAATACGAGTGACAGTCCAGCTTTAATCTATATTATCTGTAGAGGCTAAAATACTTATTCTAGTGTTGGGAGCAGAAGAGAGGTCAAGGACATAATTGGAAGCAGAGGAAAATGAAACTTGGAGAGGGACATCACACTTCACTGAACACCCTGATGAAGTGATCGACTTGAACTCGTTGCTGTTGTTGGTTGGTTTTTATTTTTTTGTTTTTCTGGTTTCAGTGTTGTTTAGTGTTGTTTTGTTTTCAAAGAGGCCCAGCACATCTCAGGTGCCTGTGATCCATGTGACACTGGTTCTCTAAGGCCCAGTGCACAGGCTGCCGGGAGATGGCTTGGAGGCAGGTTGCCAAACACGCGGCTACCAATGGTGACATCCGCCGGAGCGGCCTCATGTGGTGACCCGTGTGGTGTGAGAGCTGCTCAGAGTCCACAGAGGCCTGAGGGCAAAGCAGGCCCTCAGAACAGGAGAGCAGCAGGATCATTTTCCAGCATATTCATGCTAACTCTGGCATAAAGCTAAAATTAGATGGACTCTTTCCCGTTGAGAAACCTGGTTTCAGTTTTGATGCGCGAAATACCTGGTCATCCCTTTGCTGGCAGAGAAAATGGGGCATCTCAGCCTTCTTCAAGCCTCTGAATGAATGAGACTTCCCTTTATTTATAGGGCATGCTTGCCCTGCATGCCCTACACTCAGATTCCCCAGCTGAACCAGGGCAGCAGGGCAATGAATCCTCCTCTTCTTGTGGGCATTAAATAGGGACTAAATTTAGTCCCTCTTTCTGCCTCTCACAGTCTTTTTTTTTTTTTTTAAGATTTATTCATGCATACACAATTGGGGGACAGGCTAGGGGTGCAGGGGCGGTTAAGAGACAGAGTGGGGAGCAGAGTGGGGAGCAGAACAGAAACAGACAGAATGACGAAGTACACTGCTGAGGGGAGCAGCAGGCGGGTCAGGAGAGACCCACCATGTGGGTCACCTCCCTGGCCGGGAATCGAACCCATGCTGAGGCGGCTGCAGCTGGCTTGACAGTGCTGCACTTTAACCCATTGCACCTCGGGGGGGGGGGGGCTCTAAGAGTCTTTTTGCAAGGTTGGGTAGTCCTGTGAAAGCAGAATGTTCAAAACTTTCAATCATGATAACTCAGTATTACCGGGTCACTTCCACTCTTCCCAAATAGACTATCTAATCTACATAAAGCATGTGCCAAATATTTTTTTTCTCTTATTGCCTAGAGCTTGTCAATATGAAATTAAGAGGTAATCCAGACAGAGTGTGAGAGGTTTTGGTTTTGAGTGGGTTTTTCTCTGATTTCTTTGTTCATTTACATATTACAAAAGTTTTGCTACTAAAAAAAAAAATCCTCCTCTCTTGTGCCCATGGCATCTCTATGAAGTTGATGAGATTTAAAGTGCTGTTTCTGTCAAGAAAGAAGGAGCATGTATATGCACTTAAAGCTAAAACACTCTCCAGCATGACTTTTCTGCCTCAAAAGAATTTATTCCTCACTTCAGGTGTGGAAATTAGGATAGTCCAAGGCCAAACTGTGAAATACACCTGCTTATGGGGAAGCTTAGAACAGCACAAACTGGAGAAGATGGCTATTGTTCTGCATCTCAATATACACACACCAGTTCTGGAAACTCAGGGCCAGTGCATCTGTTTGGTATTCAGGACTGACCTTCTCTAATGAATTCTGAGCACACTAATGCCTAACAGCTAGAGCGTGGGGACTGTTGCCTGGCCAAAGAAAGTATTTTGGAAAAGAGAAACTTGAACCAGTGCCAACTTTTTGGAAAGGGGGTAACTGTTTTGCTGGGCTTTGTTTTGGCAAATTGCTCAGGAAACAAGCCAATGTGAAGCACCACCCCCATATTCTGCCCCTGAAAGTCAGTTTACATTCTACAGGATACCCACCCACCTTGTTTGCTAATGCAAACTGAAGCTTAGCAGACTTAGCAGAGCTATGTGCAGACCCTGCAGACTGACTTTTGTGATGATTCTATCTATTGCTCCACCCAACTTACTCTTTGCTCACAGGTTGGGCTCCATTTTAAGTTCATTCATTCTTCACTCAATGGATAGTTATTTGCT